CATCCAAAATGCTGCTCACACTCTGGTATCTTCCTCGTTGTGTGAAAGCACCATGGCTTCGGTCTGCCATCGAGATGGCCGATCTCTCACACACTGGAGTAAATGAGGTCTCCCTCAAAACTGCTGGCCGTCGCTACAATCAAACTTCTTCTTGGGCTTCCCAACACCTTTGTCTTCCCCTCCAGGGTCTATGCACCCCTCTCCTGGGCCTCCAAGTGTGCATATTGGGGATGAGAGAGCAGAGCTCTCTCTTCTCTCCCCACACTGCTGCAGTGCCACAACAGGAAGATCTGTACCCTATGATGATATTAAGTGTTATAACTTATGATTCTTGACAAATATATCTTTTATTCTATATACACTGAGCATATGCACCAAGACAAATTCCTTATGTGTCCAATCACACTTGGCCAATAGAGAATTCTATTCTATTCTAAAAAAAGATCTTGACAAACTTGAACAATTGGCCCTATCCAATGTGAGAAAAGCAAAGTTTTACATTTAGGCAGGAAAAATAAAAGGTGTAAGCAAGGGTGGGGTTCTACCGGTTCTATCCAGTTCTTTAGAACCCCTTGTTAACTTTTCATTTCTTCTTTTTGGAATCAAGACTGGCTGAACAAGGACCGCCAGCCGTGCTGGAAGCATCCCTTTGGGTGACTCTCCTCCTCCTCCTCAGGTGTGCATGCCATCCTCCCAGCCCTGCCACAGCTGCCAGTTGCGAGTGGAGGGGGAGATGGGTCACCCAAAGAGATTCTTCCAGCGTGGCTGGCGATCCTTGTTCAGCCAGTCTGGATTCCAAAAAGAAGAAATGAAAATAGCAAAGAGCACCAAGGAAAGCCCAGCTGTGGCTTTGAGGGACACACACACACACACACACACACACACACACACAGAGATGGGTTGGGGGGAGAGAGGGGGGAAGATAGGGACCTGGCTGCTTTACTATCCCCTGTCACTATCCCCAGGCCAGATGAGGGAGGGGAGGGTGAGGGGCAGGAGAATCAGCCACTTCAGGCAAGGTGAAGAGGCATCAACCAAGCATGGGAAAGTAGAAGCCTGGGAATAGTGGCTCCTGGCTCAGCTGGCGTGAGGGGCTGCTGCAGGCATATCAGGACAAAGGCAGCGAGAAGCCCTGGGACATCCGCCCACCCACCTGCTGGCTGGCCAGGCTGGGCTGGGCTTGGGGAGGTGCACCAGCTAGGAGAAGGCAGAAAATATGCTCTGGGAAGGCAGGCAGGCAGGCAGTTGCCCCAGGGCTGTTGCACATGCGTACTGCATGTGTAGCAGCTGCACACACAGTGCGCATGTGTAATAGCCCTGGGAAATCTGCCTGAGCTGCGCCATGGCCACCACATGGTAGGGAAAGCTAGGAGAGTGACTGGGACAAGTGGGCGACCCGGTTCGGGGGCGTGGCCAGCCAGGGGTCACTACCAGTTCTGAGACCCATACCAAATCACCGCTACCGGTTCTCCCAAATAGGTGCGAACCGGTTGAATACCACCTCTGGTGAAGTTTAATCCTGTGTTTATTGATCGTATACTTTTCCCTATTCAGCTTCAACAAGCAACATCTACTGTTGTGATTTAATTATTTGCATTGCATTTGAATTTTTTCTTGCCTCATGGTTTCTTTTTCTATCTGGGTAGGGGGTCTTCCTCACTGCTCTGACACTGTCCTTTTGCGGTATACTTCCAAGAGGCAGGATGCAAGCTTGACACTGATTTTTTTTTTACTGCCTTTCTGGGGGGCATGTGACCTTTCCTTAAATCTGGATGATTTCCTTAGGACATCTCGTGAGGTGAGTGAGACCAGCTGGTGTCTTTAAGTGGTGCAAGAGTTGGCTGATGATAGTTATCACTGCATTTTAACTATTTTCATTCCTCAAGGTGCTCTGGCATCCTGCCTGATTTGTAACTCTGGCTTGCAGGTATTTTTAATTAATGATTGGGATTTAGTGCAGCTTTTTGCAGGCAAAGAAGCTTTTTGTATTTTTGTACAGGTAATCCTTGATTTACAACAGTTTATTTAGTGACCATTCAATGTTACAATGGCACTGAAAAAAGTGACTTATGACCATTTTTCACACTTATGACCATTGCAGCATCTGCACAGTCATGAGAGGCCAGGTGAGGAAAAGCACCCCTTGACATCAGTGATGTTGGGTTGGCCATGCCCACCCAGTCACATGACCACCAAGCCACACCACCAACTAAGCCCACAGAATCAGTTGTTAAAAAAAATGACAATTTTCTGAATACTTTCCTTTTCATAAGCAACACCTGCAACCTGGAGTTACAAATCAGGCTAAGTGCCAGAGCACCTTGAGGAATTAAAATAATTAAAATACAGTGATAACTATCATCAGCCAACTCTTGTTCCTAAAGTGAAACCCTTTAGCAGGGGCTGCCACAAACAAAATTCTCCCTTTTGTCTTTCAATTTGTTAGAGAGTTCTTTATGCAGCCATGCTGTTTTCTTTTGAGAACTGTTATTTTTCTCCTTCATTTGGTATTGTGCTAGATTGGGCTTTTATAATTTCACTTTTCAAAATTTCCCAAGCTTCTTGAATTGTTTTCTCCTTGAGGATTCTCATCCATGGAATCCTTCCCAAGATCTCTCTAAGTTTATTGAAATTAGCTCTCTTAAAGTCCAAGACTCTAGTTTGACTTTGTTCGACTACTTGTGCTTGCATAATGTTGAATTCCAATGTTGCATGATTGCTCGCCCCCAAGATACCTGTAGTTTCAACACCTTCTATCATTTCATCTCTGTTAGTGAGAATTAAGTCCAATATGGATGATCTCCTTGTTCCCTTCTCTACTTTTTGGGAAATAAAGTTGTCTGTTAGGTTTGTTAGGAATGTTGGATCCTCCACTTGGTGCAGAGTTTGTCTCCCAGTTGATGTCAGGGTAGTTGAAATCCCCCATTACTATTGTGATGTGCTTCCTACATAGTTAGGTGGCTGGCAAAAAGTTCATCTATTTCCTCTGTTTGGTTGAGTGGCCTATAGTATACACCTTTGGCAATATCATTTTTCCCCTTTAATAGTGACCCAAAAGCATTCAAGATAATTTTCATCATTAATCAGAACTCAGTAATCACTCCTGCATGAACTGCACTGGTTACCAGTATATTTCCAGGTGCAATTCAAGATGCTGGTGATTACCTATAAAGCCGTACATTACTTGGCACCAGGGTACATGAGGAATCACTTTTCTCCAAGAATTTCTACCTATCCAATTAGATTAAATAGGATGGGCATGATACAGATGCAGACTAGAAAATTAGCTTTTTCTACCATAGCTCCTTTTCTGTGGGACATTCTCTCTCTTTGCTTTGTGTTGGACTCTGATAGTTATTCTCCTATCATAATCTCATTTATGATTCTAGATTAGATTCTAGATTAGATTCCTGAATCTAATTACTGGTGTTAAGATTACAAGTTTTTGGGTTCTAATTATCATTTTACAAAGTAGCCCTGGGATTACCCCTAACATCAAGGCCTACCCACCATAAAGGGTTGAATTCCTGCCTTGACTAAGGGACATCTTCAGTGTTCTAAAGTTGTTCATGATATATTATGGCTTTTATTTTTCTCATTGATTCTGCCTTATAAGAGAGCATCTTAGGTGCCTTTGAAGTCATTAAAGATTTGGGCCCATATTGAGCTGTTAAAATGTCATTTATTGCCTCTGATGTGACCTAAATTTCAAGTCAGGAGAAATCCTTAAAATTGTCATTGCACAATACTTTTAAATCCCAATTATTCTTAAAAGCAGAATGTGTTTCATAATTCTGTACTTCTCTTACAAAATACAGTAAGGTAGAAAGTAGAGTAGTGCATAACATTGTTAAAATATTATTGCATATACAAAAAATATATAGCCACACCATGCTGAAATAAGACATCTCAGGTCTAACTACTGCTTTACAATGTTGACCAAAAGTTCAAGGATCAAATAAAACCCTGACAAGTGCCATATTACAATTCAAAAAGAAACTACTGTACTGCAGGAGTTTAAATATTAATCCCCAAACTAACTTTTGGGGATAGAGATAGCTAATCATCACTTGGTTTAAAAATTTAATCTAAACTAAATCAGGTATTATTTCTGGGTCTCAGATGCCATTCAATTCTTGGCCATCTCCCACAAATTGATTAATAAAAATAAAGTTTCTGCTGACTTTCTGAGACTTATAGAAAAGGGAAAAACATTTATTATTCAGTTAATATTTAAACCCAACTCTCTTCTGTAATTATTCCATAAACTAAGCTCTGTTGATGTTGTTGCTTCAAACAATATACTAGAAACTTATTAGCTTTCTCTATGGATTCCGAATACTTTTAATAGCTTTCTCTCAGTACATATTTAATAACGATCCTATGGCCAGTCAAATCTGCCCTGCTATTGACTGTCCAGGTTGATTTCATATGCAGTTATATTGTCCTTTTTACAATATTGTCTGCAGAAGGGTCATATTTTGTCTCTGCTCCTATTAATAATGCTAGATGCTTCAGGTCAGCCTGACAAACTTTAGGTTGATCTTGTTCCATCAGATAAGGAAGATTTTCTTCCATAATTGGCCAGTGTATAACAGTGGTGGATGAGATAAACAAAAAAACCAAACAAAAACATTTAAAATACCAATAATTGGTAACTATCAATAATATTGAATAATATCAATAACATTGAATAATATCAATAATATTGAATAATATCAATAATATTGAAAGTTACTAATTATTGGTATTTTAAGTGTTTTTTTCAGTGATCTGTGATTAATATTTGAGATATTAAATAAATAAATATGGGGAAAGAATGAGAATATGTGAATTTATAGTATAGAATAGAGAATGTCTTCCACACTGAAATGTAAATAAAGTTTTATGTGCACATAAGTACACACACACACACACACAAACACACACAGAAAGAGCCATGCAATCACATGAATATAATGCCCCGGGCCCATGTTAAAAAAAAAAATCACACAACTAAATTTGCTCATTTAACTGTATTTCAAGGAAAAATTTCCAAGTTTTACTTCAATGCATTTTTAGAGTCTGATAGATAGCAATTTGGATTTATGTAAGGAAAGATAAAGTTATAGCACACGGTGATGTCAGGTCATTGGCCAGTTGTTGAAGATATCCACGGCAGTAGATGTAGATGGCATTATTTTCTTTATTGTCTATTAAAATGATATAAAATAATAGGTTAATAAAAGTGGATTTAACATTTCTTTTGCCTTCTGAATTCCAAAACACATTTACTGTGAATACCTTGCAATGCTTTGTGAATGCAAACAATATCAGGCACATTATCCCAATCTACATTTGTGACATTTCTATTAGGAAAGGATTTTCTTACTGTTTACAGCAAATGTCCAGGCCATTACAATTCCATTGTCCAATAAAGTAGAAGCCTACAGGACAGGGACGTTCATAGCAGTGTCCTCCTCGTTCAAAACAAGTTGCACGAGCTCTCACTGAAAAAAGGAAACGATGAGACAAGTTAATGATAAATAAATATACTTTATTATTTACATGCATTTATTCAGCAGGTTCTGACAAATTCTGGAGAACTAGCAGAAATTTTGAGTAGTTAGGAGAACCGGCAAATACCACCTCTGACTCGCCCCATCTCAATCTATTCTCTGCCTCCTGAGTCCCAGCTGATCAGCTGGGTCTTCTTTTGTTGCCCTGAACAGGAGAACGGAGCTGGAAAGCAGGTTAGTAGGGTGGAGAGGGAATGGGATTTTGCAGTAACCTTCTACTTCGAATGGGGTGGGAATGGAGATTTTGAAATATCCTTCCCCTGCCATGCCCACCAAGCCACGCTCACCAAGCTACGTCATGCCTACCAAGCCATGCCCACAGAATTGGTAGTAACATTTTTTGAGTCCCACCACTGGACCAGATATGTCAGTTTTCACTGCTATCCCTGCAATAACCCAAATATCACAAATCAAACAAAATCTCAACCGTGGACAGAGTAGAATTGGCTGGTAGGTGTGTATCTTTTGAGGCAGTTGAGAGGAAACAATCTGCTTCATTACAAAGTTCACCTTGCTTTGATATCTCTCTCTTCCCAGTATTACTAATAATTCTTGATTGCTAAGAAACATTCTTGGGTTACAATGTCTATGTCCAGTAGATGTTTTAAATAGAGTGGTTTTTTTTGGGGGGGGGGCGTAAAAATGGATAATTTTCTGATTTGCCTCTGGATTTTTCTCTTTCCTTAATGTACAAAATATTTCCACTGCTGCTCTTTTCTGCTCTTGAAAGACTGCACATATGTGAGCTAGTTATGATTTGCATGAGCAACCTCCAGGATATCCCAGCTGTCAAAAAAGCTTTAGAGAAAATGGGAAGAATACACCCGTTTTGAACTGCTCTGAAAGAGAAGTACATTGAGTTGTTCACTTAATCATCAAGAGTTAAGCTTTTCTTAAGGGAGTGTGTATACTTTGCTTTCTCTATTAAGAAAATAATGATATGTACTTGGAAAAAGATAATTTATCTACTTCTAGATATTTCCATTTTGAAATAAGTATGAGTAAATTCACTTGATGATTGCTATAGTATAAACATTTTCCTTCTTTACTCAACACCCCCCCCCCCAATAGAATAGTGAATTAATAAATTGGGTTTTGGGGGCCCTTCTTGGCACATATATCAATATTGGATATCTAGTTTTAATTAAGCAGAAAAATCAAATACATATTTTTCAGATGTTTGGAAGTTCAGATTGTCAGTATTCCAAACCTCATAACTATTTTTAGAGCAAAGAAAGGTCCTAATTGTTGAGATATTTATAGTGAAAAGATGAAGATTTAATTTAAATTCCTTAAATTGTAAAAATTCTGGCCCTGGATTGAATGATAGACCCAAGAAATACGTAGTAGTTTACACTGCCTTCAAATATTATCAGACTTGTTTAGAACAAGAATTATCAGTCCTTTCTAAATAATCAGTAAGTTAGTTTTTTACCTGATTCAAGAAGTAATGCAAGGAAAAGGCATGCAAAGAGCACATAAAAGATCTTCATGTTGGAATTGGTACTGCATCAAATCTAACTCCTGGGACAGGACACAGAACTCTATTTATAGAGCTATAACGATTGCATCACTTTGCCTCACTGAAATTTTGCAACTATTCTTAAGTGTTATGTTTACTGTTCTTACATAAGGTATTGTTGTATCTTCCTTCTTTAGAAATACTCCTATGGTTTAATTATGATTTAATTGAATGGTTAATTATTTACGGTTTCCAAAGATCCCAGCCTTACCACTTTCCATATCCAGGAGGAGCAGAAAAAAGTTCTTTCTGAATCACTGTTGAACCTCCAGCAGTTCAGAAAGATAGTACTTAGACAGATTCAACAGTGATGGCAGTTTTGAAAGTGCCATGATACAGTTTAGAAGTATAGGAAAGAAATTCTGGATCTCCCATCTCTTGAGGTCCTAAAAATTTGTTCATTTCCCCTTTGTTGTTTCTGGGAATGCATGAATTCCTTTGTTTTGATCATCTTATTCTGCTTGATCTCCTGTTAAATATTATCTTGATTGATTAACTTACCATAGGTCTTTGCAAATGAACACATTGTGAACATTGGAATATAGAGAACAATCTGCTCAATTGAGCAAGAGTCAAAGTGGGTTACAGCAAAAATTTGAAATAAATGAAATAAAATGAAGAAACAACTGTCAGGATTCCAGCGATTGCTCTAAGTAAGTCATGAGCCCTGAGCCAAACTTCAACAAACTTCCAAAGATTTATAAGGAGTGACATGCTAGCATGATCTGTATGAAGCCAACTCTGAGATACGTAATTTACAATCACCTATGACCCTGTTTCCCCTCCCTCCTCTGGGTGTATCATAATTCAGATTGTCCAAGGAGCATGTTCATGGGATGGGTGTATTCAATCCTCTTGAATAGACGAACTCCCTGAAGGCTTCCCCATCAGGTGTGATGAAATGCTTCCGCCCTAGTTGCCACCTCTTTGGAAGGGTGGGCCAGCCTTTTTACTGTATCCCCAGTTTCAGGACCATGGTTAGGTTGATCAAGGACTCAGTGCCGCCTGAATCTATTGGGGCTTGGAAAGTCCCCCGAATCCCTGTTTTGGGGGCTGTGAGCCATATTGGGAAGATGAAAGGGGAGACTGGTCCACTCACCATTGGGTCATTTTCATCCTCATCCTTGCTGTCACAAGAATCTGGCAACTGGTCATCATTGTCTGGGGTTGCCCCCCTTTGGCTGGGTGGGAAGAGACCTCTGCAGCTGAAGGCCCTTCTGGGATGTGTTGACAGCATGTTTGAGGCCTCATTCCAGTTGTGCCTTGGGTGGTGGTTCTTGCCTTGGTTTTGGGCCTGGGGTTGCACAGGCCGCTGCCATGTGACACTCCCCAACATGAGTAGCATTTAATTGGGCTTTGTGGGAGGGCTGGTTTGGGGGCTAATTGTGGTGCTGTGGTTCCCCATTGCCTGGGTGGTCTCTCATCTAGCTGACCTCTCCCTTTGGTTTTTAGCAGCTTTCTCATGCCATTAGTGCATGCTGCCTTATCGACTTTTATGGTTACTTGGAACCACTCAGTCAGTTTGGGATGTCCCAATAGGTGGTTATTTGCAAATTTGCTTCTCCAGGCTGGTTCTAAAAAAATGAACCAGCATCCACTCAGGCAAAAGGGATAGCTTCCCACTGATTCTCCTGCATTCATGGATGTATTCCTTGATGGGTTGCTCTCCCTGCTTTAGGTTGCTGAGCTCATCTTCTGCATACAGATCATCCTCTGCCTCCTCAAATCTGTCAGTTATAGGAAGTCATCTACATCCTGCAGTTGGGGGGGGACCCTTATCTTGTGGAGAGTTGCTAGCCATCTTCTTGCTTCTCCCTCCAACCCCTCAGAAATGGCATTCATCATGGCTCTAGGGGAGGATAGAGGTGTCCATAGCATTCTAGGTGGATTTCAGCTGAATCAAGGAATAGGGCTAGATGGTCTGGGTCCCCATCAAATTTTCCCCTGAACCGGGGCAGTTTGTAGAGCTCTTCTCTGCTCTCTTCCTGTCGCTCTATGTAAACCTGTGCATGTGGTGGCTGACCTTCCTGCTCAGCTCTAGTTCACACAGGAGGAGGGAGATGCCTGCTGTGTGGGGAAGGCACTGGTTGCCACTGCGGGCTCTTGTTTCTTCTGCTGGGTAGAGGAGGGGGCTATGATCTTGCCTGCTTCTCCTCATTTCAGAAGGCTCTCTGGAAACTCCTCTCTGTTTTGAGTGGTCATCTCTAATGGTAGCCTGGACAAATTCCTCTTTCAGCTGCTCCATGGATCTCCCCAGGGATCCCATCAGGAGCTTTTAGGCTCCTCTCTCATCCTGTCCCACTCTGTAAGCCTGTACTTAAGGTGGCTGGCCTTCCTCCCGGCTCTAGTTCACACGCGGGGGGGAGGGGTGCCTGCTGTGTGAGGGAGGCATGGGTAGAGAAGGAGCCCTGTGGTCTCACCTGCTTCTCCTCACTTCAAAGAGCTCTGTAAAAATGTCCTTCTGTTTTGGGCAGCATGATGAGTCATCATTCCAAATGGTGGCCTGGTCAAATTACTCCCTTAGCTGTTCTATGGATTTCCCCAGGAATTCTGTCAGAGACTTTGGGGCCCTGACCTGTGCCCATATCCAATCCACTTTTCCAAGCTCACTCAGGGGCCTTCCACCTTTTTGGCTTGACGGGGGGGGGGGGGGGACTCAACTTTAGGGGTAGGGTTTTTTCCACCCATACTCATCCATTTTTCCTTCCTTCACCAGAAAGAAAGTTCAGAAAGATAATGCTTAACCAGATTCAACAGTGGTGGCAGTTTTGAAAGTGCCATGATACAGTTTACAAGTATAGGAGACAAATTCTGAAGCTTCCATCTCTTGAGGTCCTAAATATAAAAATATGTTCATTTCCCCTTTGCTGTTCCTGGGAATGCATGAATTCCTTTGTTTTGATCATCTTATCCCGCTTGATCTTCTATTAAATATTAGCTTGATTGATTAACTTACTATAATACATATAATTTTGGTCTTTGCAAATGAACACATTATGAACATTGGAATATAGAGGATAATCTGCTCAACTGAGCAAGAGTCAAAGTGGGTTACAGCAAAAATCTGAAATAAATGAAATAAAATGAAGAACCAACATAAAAATAAACAGCTATTGTAACAAAGTGGAGCAACAGTGTTTTAACAACAGTTCTGAAATACAATATCTCTCACAGCTAATATAATACTGAGATTGTTTGTAAAAGGCAGGTTAAAATTATTTTTTGAAATAATGAATATAATTGTAGGCAACTGAAACAAGATGAATGCTGTGGAAAAAGATGGCAAATGAGAAGACATGTCTCTATCACTCCTTCATCATCTTTAGGGCAAAGGGCTCTGGGAAAATGCCATTCGATAGATTCATAGGTCTTAAGTGTGTGAAAGCCTTAGATTAAGACAGAACATTTGAACTAGGTCTCTATCTCCAACCTTCTTTTGTTAACAAAATGGTCAGATTGGACCTTTTTAAAATGAACCTTACCTCAACAATCCATATTATCTACACTTACTTCATCTGGATTTCATGCTGACATTTAGGATGGAGACACTTTTAGTCTTGCTTGTTAGAAATCTGTGGCAGAGCCTGTATTGAAGTGGAGCATGTCTCAGCAGCTTTTGTTAATTTTAACCATAGTACTCTTTTGCACCAATTCTAGTGTCCAGAAATAGCGGGTATCATTTTATAGTAATACTCTTAACTTTTCAAAAGCTGATTATAGTCAGAGTCCATTGTATATGTAAAGCATGAGTGACAATGAGAAGAATCCTCTTCTCATAGTCAGGGAAAGGCTATAATGGACATGGTAGTTGCCATCTGATATTTAAGCAGAAGCTTTGAGTCCAATAACATTGCCTAGTTAGAAGACAGTCTCCATTTCCACTTCATGAAGAAAGTAAAATGCCATGATTAATAGTATTAAAAGTCAGAGAGAGGTCAAGAAAGATGGGAAATTTCTGCCCAGTCTCACTACAGGTTATCCTAAAAACAATATTTTATCATTCAGTCTTAATTTTGGATAGGTAGGTAGGTTGTTGCCTCACTTTCTGGAACAACAGAGTTATGTCAACACAGAGCAATTCTGTAAACCTCTATAGCAATGCTGCAATCTCTCAAGGACACAGATTGCAATAGTGATTTCCACAGTTAAGCTTGCATCAGGAATAAACTGCAACTCTCTGTGGAAAGAATGGAGTTGGGATAAAAAATTGAAAACTGATATGTACAGCACATTCCTTTCTCCATCCAGAGTGAAGGGGCTACCACTCCATCTCTTTGGCATATGTGCATCACATTTTTTATCTTCAAGCAATACCATCTGACAGAACTTATTTCTTGACATTGATCATCCTAATTGATTTACTGACTATGTGGCATCAACTCAGTGTTGACTCTTAGATCCAGAGTGATAGATTTTCCTCCACATTATTTGTACTTAACCTATTCCTTTAGCTGTTTTATCTGTGCACAATGGCCATCTGTGAGTCCATCTAACCTTCAGCTGGTTGTCCTCTTTTTCTCTTTCCTTCTAACTTCCCCAGAATTAGAGTCTGTTCCAGAATGCTAGGTCTTCATGTATTCCTTCTAAGTAGAATAATTTGAGACTAGGCATTTGTCCTGTAAGTTCTGAATAATTGTTTAATAATTTCTTGACTATCCACAGTATGCTCCAGATATTCAATATCAACTTCAAAGGTGTCATTAATTTTTAAAGGTAAAGGTCTCACTTATCCATTCATGACCAACTCTAGGGGATGTTGCACATTTCTGTTTCTTAGGTGAGGGATCCAACAGTGTCTGAAGACATTATTGTGGTCATGTTGCCAGCATGACTATATGCCAAGGTGCACAGAATGCTTTCCCACCAAAGTGGTACTACTCTCATTTGCATGCTTTCAAACTGCTGGGATGGCAGGAACTGGGGCAAGGAAAGAAGATCATCCTGTTACATGGCATTGGGATCTTGAACCCAGGTTGTCAGTTTTTCAGATGACAAGCTCTGCCTCTTTAGCCACTGAG